GGGCCTGGCTGCAGCAGTACCACAACCAGTGCCAGGAGGTGCTCCACCACGTCAGGTGAGCATCCAGGGCAGCTGACCCAGGCTGTGGCCTTTACCCCGGGGCAGCTGGCAGACCTTGGCAGCCCTGCCCTAACAACGTCTGCTTCTGTAAAGCTTTTTTCCTCAGCCCTCACTTCCGTTCTGTTGCCTAGATTTTGGCCAGCATTTCTCCATTAGACAATTCCAGACACCCAGATAGTGGAAGCACAGAAACCATCCATCCCGGGTGGATGGGTGGATGGGAGTTGGCCCTGTCCCCAGGGGACAGGGGAGGCATCATCTGCCTGGTGTCATCCATGGCCTGCATTGCCTAGATGCAGGGGAGCCTTTATCTGCTAGGTGCCTTAGAGTGAACAGGGAATGGTTGGCTCTGACTTGATCAGTCTCCCCAGCTTGATGACTACAATTCATACTGTTTCATTTTAAAGCTCTCTAGCCAAGGACCTGCATTTTTATTCCACATCTTTAGTGATTGTTTTTAATGCTACCGTAATTTTAAATATTTTGACTTCTTTTAGTATGATTCCTGCAAAATGCCTTCAGAAAGGGGCTGAGGTTAATAATCCCACAGTTGAAAAACTGATCAGATTGCTGTTGAAGGCTTGTGATCTGGAAGAGGTAAGGGGCACAGCCATGGGCCCGGAAGAGGGCGGGGAGGGGCCAGGCCCAGCCTCTAGCCCTGCTCCTTCAGTTTCAGACCTGCCTGGTCCGCCACTGCAAGCACGCTTTCGGCTGTGCCCTGGTGCACACGTCTGGCTGGAAAGTGGTCTATTCGGGGGATACCATGCCTTGTGAGGCTCTGGTCCAGATGGGTGAGTAGAGAGGAAATGAGCCTTGGTGAGGCGTGGGGTGGGTGTAGATAAGCGTAGGGCGTGTCCACAGAGATAGAAGACTTGGGTTCCCCCTCACACTGCGTGGCTGCCATCCTAATGTGCAGATGAGTCACAGGGCCAAGGCTGCTGCGTGTTTGGGTCAGGACACAGCTGTAGATCCCGGGGCCACATGCTGCTCACCTAGAGGGCTGCACCTCAACACAGCCTATTTCTCCAGGGAAAGACGCCACCCTCCTGATACATGAGGCCACTCTGGAGGATGGCTTGGAAGAAGAAGCAGTGGAAAAGACACACAGGTAGCAGAGAACAGTTAGTCCTCCCTGTCACCTCCTTCCTCCCATCAAGTGAAGCCCCAACAGCCCACGTTTGCCCCCGGGGAAAGACAGTGCTCTCAGTGACACAGGGCTGGCTAGGTTCCAAGGCTGAGGAGGCTTCCTGAGCCACAGCAGTCTCTTCGGGCCTTCTGCCTCTATTTTTGCAGTTCCCTAGGTTCTAATGGTGAGGCATGGTGTTTTTAACGAGAGAAATAAGCTGGAAGAATCTATTAAGTCACATCAGGGAATGACCAGGGGAAGGCAGGGGCTAGGGTGGGGAGGGGGGCTGAATATTGGGCTGTCTGAAGGAAGACGTGCCTTGACCTCTGTGTAAGCTCCCAGATGTTTCCCAGGTGTCCTCCTTGATGAAAGCTGACAGCACAGAGTGTGGGCCTCCTTTAAGGAAAGGGGAAGGATCAGGCTAAAGAGGTGCCAGTTGAGAACATCCTTGGCCTTCTCTCCCTGGGGGCCCCAGCAGCAGCAGGGCCAGGGCCTGAGCTAGTTCTCGGCCTTGGAGCCCTGCCCTGTGGCTTAGCTTCCCTGGCTACTTGTCCTTGTCCTGCAGCACTACCTCCCAAGCCATCGGTGTAGGGATGCGGATGAACGCGGAGTTCATCATGCTGAACCATTTCAGCCAGCGTTATGCCAAGATCCCCCTCTTCAGCCCTGACTTCAATGAGAAAGTGGGAATCGCCTTTGACCACATGAAGGTCTGTGTGTCACGTGGGCTGTGTGTTTGGGGAGACCGGGGAGGTGCAGACTCCTCCTTTCATTTTCTTCCCTGCTTGGGGCAATGAAGATAAGAGGGTCTGTCACTAACCAGCATCATATTCAGGGTACGATGCAGAGACCCACCTCCTGTAGGGTCTGCTGGACATTAGTCCTAAGGACATTGCCTGGACTGCCCCACAGTCAAAGCACTGGAGCCTCAGGACAGACCTGAGACAGGTGCTCACATGTCACGAGTAGAGCCAAGCCGCCTTGACATTAGCTTGCATCACCTTTCCTGAGGCCTGTGGTTTTGCCACCCTCAGCCAGGAGTGGGGAGTCTGCTGCTTTCTCTAGAGGGCTTCCTCCCTCCCTGCAAAGCCTTCTTTTCAGTTGGAATTTTAGTCACTTGGCTTAAGGGTGTGTAAGGGTGGGGAGGTGGCCCTGCTCTTGTCCCTCTGAGGCATGTTCCTATCGTGTGTCTGGCCTCCCAGGTTCATTTTGGTGACTTTCCAACCATCCCAAAGCTGATTCCCCCGCTAAAAGCCCTGTTTGCTGATGACATTGAGGAGATGGTGGAGCGCAGAGAGAAGCGGGAGCTTCGGCTGGTGCGAGCAGCCCTCCTCTCCCAGGACGGGGAGTCCCAGCAGAAACGTGCCCACACGGAGGAGCTGCAGAGCCCACAGAGTAAGAAGGTCAGAGCCTAGTGGAGGTCTGGACCACCCTGCACACTGAAGGCTATGTGTGTCTTCTACCCTGTGCGGCACCCACTCTCCTTATCCTGGTGGTCAACCAGGATGCAGTTCTGGATGGGTGTGTGGCGGCATGCTGTGGCCTGGGCTCCAGCATAAACACCAGTCTGCAAGACGCCTCCTGTGACTGGTGCCTGGCACGGCTGTGGGACAGGAGGCTGCTAAACAAGAAAGCTGGTGCAACTAGAATTCTAACGCAAGTCGGTATTTAAGGAAGTCATGTGGACACGGGCAGCACCCCTCGCCTGCTCCAACCAGGTGGCTCCCTCTGCAAATCAGAGGCAAGCCAAGTGACAGGTGACATTGGGTTTAGGTATTCCAGACTCAAGGGATAGTGTTCCCAAAGAATCAGATGCAATAAAGATGGAGTTTGGAATTCTGAGTTCTTTGCTTCGTTTTGGTTTTGCTTCAGAGCAGGGTTATTATGCCAGCTTCCCAGTGTGCCCAGGAAAGCTCATGTGGCAGGAGAACCTTTCCACCCCCAGGGGAGCCACCACTCTGCTGAGTCTTGACCAAAGCCCAGCCATACAAGCTCCTTCCAGTGGCTTCAAACATCTATTGAGCGCCTGACCATGGCAGGGGAACAGGACGTCCAGATCTTCTCATTGTTCTGGCTAAAAGTAGAGATGATCAATTTGTTTTCTCTTGCTCATAATGAGAATTACTCTTTGCCCTTAAAATGTACAAAATGTCACATCGGGTTGGCTTCCTTGGCGGATTTCAAAACACAGGTTAGCACTTGAAACTCAAAAGAGAATTTTCAAAGTTGAATCTAGTATTTATATCCTCTCCCTTCCCAGGAGAATATTGGAGGAGCTTTAAAACAGGTGAGAGAGAAAGAGCAAGGACTTGGCCTTCCCTGGTGGTGAACTTCAGACCTCCTGACACAGCCCAAGAGATTGATAACTGCCCCACAGCTTTGTTATTAAAACAAGAACATACGCCAGCTCAGGGATAATAAATCTATTTTAATAACATTACTTTTGACAACAATTTGTACATGTATTTAAAGAGAACTTTCAACTCCCAGGCTCCATTACAAACTGCCCTTGCCAGGAAGTGAGCAAAGCTGTAACATCAAAAGTCCGCAAATCCCACTCTCAGAGAAGGGTGACTTTACACTGTTGGGAAAAATAACTAAGCATTTAAATTTTTTCATTGTACACCTGTACATCAGTTTTGATTGAATGGCTCAAATTAAACAAATATAGATTTCATATATACAAATATTATATCATGTATAGGTATATTATATCTATTTTAAAAGGATAAAATTTGAAACTTCGACTGCATGCATGGCCCAGATCTGTTTCTCACTCTCTTAATCCCAAAGTGCAAACAGGCTTCCCAGTGCCTCCCGACCCTCCTCCCCAGAACTGGATGGGACTTCATGAGAAGGGATGCGCAGGGGATGCTGGTGAGCAAAGCAGGCCCACCACCACGTGGACCAGCGTCTCCACAGGCTGGTTTTACTCTCCTCGACCTGCTCTGGGTAACAGGATTATTGCTATTCAGCTGTAACCTCCAGATTTAGAGACCAGCTCCAGGACCCCACATTCTAGTGAGCTGGACGCCTAGAGGGGCCAAATAAATGACTGACAGACTTAATGGGTTTCAGGGGATGGGGAGCTACCACGGACTCTCCAGACATGGTCAAGATCCTCTTTTAAATTCAGAAGTATAAAATGATAGGAGTAAAGAACTTTCAGTCATGAGGGGGGACAGAAATTTAGGTAGCAAATGTTATAAGCCATTATTTTGGAGCCCTCTGATGAAGGGTAGCCGAAAGGTGTTCCACGGGCCGGCCCTTCCCTGGGCGTCAAGAAAAGGTGAGTGACCAGGACTTCAGGAATTCCAGCCCTAGTCCAGGTCTGAGTGAAAAGTCCCCCTCCTGTCCTGCTTCTCTTCTGGCTAATACACTGATATTCCGGGACCTGACATTGCCTGTCCCAGTCCACAGTCAAGGCAGTGGCCCTCGTGTGTAACCAGGTAACAACCCTCTCTCATACCCCCACCCCAAAGGACAATTCTGACAAGCAGACCCTTGGGTGGAGAGATGGGTACTACTTGTCATGGAGGCTGAAAATGGATCAAAATAGGCACAAAGTCAAAAGGCAAAGGTCAAACAAATGGCCGAAGTCACCACCCATAAGGAACAAACAAAATCTGCACCACCGACATTCCCCACATGGACCAGAGATTGCAGTTTTCTGCCAAACTCCAACCTCACGTTGGAGGTGACAGGAAAGAGCCAACGGAGGATACTTGTTGAGCTCAGGGACGCTGCTCCTGGCGGCGTGTCTCCGGGGCCCATGTTATGTTATGTACACGCGTGTTGGGGGCAGGGTGTTGTGTCAGAGGGCGGTGCTCTCAGATTCCTCCTCCGAGTCCCTCTTGTCTGTCACTGAGTGTCGCCTTGCGTGCTCCAGGGGGCTCAGGCGGAGTGTCGATCCCAGCTCTATGTGGATGGAGGGGATATCAAAGTGGACAAGATCTGCAAGTTGGCAGAGAGAAAGAGAGTTGAAAAGGAGCTTCTGGCTAACCAGAGGCTAACTGCAGACAAATAATGTCAGCATTGGGAAGCAGGGTGGTTTGTTCCTTCTAGGGCCAGATCACTTGGAGGTTTGTTTAAGCACGTGACTGCATGATTTAGCTGTGGCCAGGTCCCATCATTTCTACCTTGAGGGTGGTTAGGATCCAGGTTCTGCCACAGTGGTTCAGGGAGGATATTCCAGAATATTCCACGGATATTCCAGGACCTGACATTGCCCGTCCTGAACAGCTCAGCCTCACTGCACTTGGATCCTGATAAGCAGGACGCTCTTGGGCAGGTCTCAATAGGATCCTTTGGGGATGTAGCTCAGACTGCATTTAGTTCCCTCAAGTCTGCATGGACAGGGTGTGAGACAACGGGGGAGACCTGGGTCAGCGATCTCACTCTGAGAAACAGCTGCTTTGGGAAGGCTCATGGAGGCAAAGCAGAGGGTCTTCCTCAGGACCTGGTAGCAGCTGGAGTAAACTCCTGGTGTATTCCAAGAAACTGCCCCCTTTCTGGTTACATCCTTATTAGGAGCACTGAAAGATCATTCTTCCTGGACAATGGAGCAGGAAGAGTATAACAGAAGGAACAGGGCTCAGCATGTGGACAACTGTGTCGGCAAAACCAAGACAAGTCTTTAGAGCCTGCAGCTTGATACATGAAGCTCGCTGGACACACCACGCTAGAAATGGCCCTGGAGCACTGAACTCCAGAAGGCTAAGCCTGCTGCCTCCCTGGGGCTGTGGGAGATGAATGGGGTGGGATGGGTCCTCTGGGTCCCTTATTCTTGGTCACATTGTTTTCTTAGTTTCTGGCCTTCACTTAGCCTGGCTTCTCTATCCAGACTGGGAACTGTACTGCAAGTGACACAGAATATGAACCTAGCAAGGGATCAGTGGTGGGCCACATCTGGGAAGTGGAGTTTAATTTTTGTTTTGTTGTAAAACAGATGTTCAGACTGAGGACTACCATGCTGAGAGTACAGACATACACTTGGACACTGTCCTAAAAGACATTATACAGACATGGAGGCTCTGGGACAAAGCTCCCCTCTCACCCCGTCCCCCAGATAGTCCTCAAAATGTCATCCCAGCCTGTCATCCATTTGCTGCCTGATGGAGCAGAGATCTGGGGGTTTGCAGCTCTGCTCAGCCAGTGCCACTCATCCTCCTGCAGCAGATGGCTCGTGGGCCTTGCAGGACATCTGTGGCCATCTCTCCTCTGAAGGTGGGAGGTTATGCCAGCCTAGGACTACCTGCTGGGTGGGGCTCCCTATCAGGAAGAACTTAGGCTCCTCTGCTTGGGCTCCAACTCCCAGCTCAAATCAAAGACAAATGAGGTCCTGGAGAACATCTTACCTTTCCTAAGTCTCGGCAGTCAAATGGAAGTAGGGGAGGAGAGGAATGCAGACATGACATGAGAGACTGCCTGACCCAGCGCAGGTGTTTATGACCCCCACTGTTCCCTTAAAGGATCCCCACCCTACGGGAGAGAGGTCACTCAGCTAGGGGACGGGATTTAGGGGGAGAAGCCCTCATTAGGATTCTGAGGGAAATCATGGCTGTGATTTATTTCATAAACACTTTAGAAATGTCTGTTGGGACACACCTGTCTGTGAGCACCAGATCCCTTGTAGCTAGGATGCAGGACCATGTGCTGAGGAAACCCAGGCTTACTCTGGACTTACTCATTGTCTTACTAAGGCAAAAACACCTCATTCTTGTGGCTTTTTTCACATTCTAGGTTTTAGCTTTGGACATCTATTCTTATTATTTCCTTTTTTTTTTTTTTTGCAGTGCTGGGGATGTGACCCAAGTGGCCTTGGGAATGCTAGGCAAGCACTCTACCACTAAGCCACATTCCTCCACAGCAGAAGGAGGAGAAGGAAACCAAGCAGATGCTGATCAAAATGCTCCCAAATTGTTTTATTGAGTGGGACGGAAAGGATCTGGCCGACTATTATGGAGGTGGGTGGAATGAGCTCTAAGACTCTGGATTCTTCAGGATTTGCCAGCTTTCGGCCTGGAGGAAGACAGGCATGAGAGTTTGTGTCTGAGCTGGGCACAGACACAGTGACTCAGGAGACTAAGGCAGGAGGACCACCAGTTCCAAGTCAGCCCAGGCAACAGAGCGACACCCTGTCTCAAAAAAATAAGAATGGTTGGGGATACAGCTCAGTTAAAAAAAAAAAAAAAAACCCGAGTTCAATCCTCAGTACCAGGGTGGTGGGAGCAGAATCTGACGGTGGACATCTGCTAGTACGAGCTCATGGCCACAGACCACGTGTTGGACCCTGTGCCAAGCCACACCAGGTAAGTCCTCCCATCAGGACACCTTCCTAAATGAAAGTGTGCAGAGCATGTTCCTAGGGTGCTGAGCACAACAGCCTCCAGCAAATCCACCCAGTGAAGAAGAGATCTGTTACCCCTGCAAATTCTAAACCTGAGGGGGAGAGGAGGGCAGCTGCAAGGAGGTGATACAGTGAGACAGAAGACGGGGAAAGAAGAGCTAAACCCATTTGTTGAGTGTTTCCCTCAGCTCCTATGAAAAGAAAGAAAGAAAAAAAAAGGCCAATGATCTCAAAAAGCCAAATAAGCTCCTGGGTCAGCTCATCTTTGCTGAGGTTGCGGGAGGCTGGTAAGAGTGCAGCGGCCATGCGGTCAGTCGGTCTGAGTTGCATGCAGAGAGGAGGGACAGCTCTTTGGGGGGCGCTGGCGGCAGGGGGCAGGGGCAGCCGGCCTGGCTGGCTTGGAGGGTGGAGGGAGGTGAGGCCGGAGCCAGCTTACCCTGAAAATCCCCCTCACACGTATCCAACACTGCGTCACCCATGTCACACAGCTGCAAGAACACAATGATAGGATTCGGAGAGAGGAATAAACACGATGAAACATGAATGTAACAAAAACACTGTGCAGAGTGTCACAGTCCCACGCGGGCCACACCAAAACATTGCAGGTTCTACGCTGGCTCAGAGACCCGTACATACCAGACAGTCATGGTCTGCTCTCAAGAGAACATTAAAACAAAATGGAATGCAGCACCAGGGGGTGTCATTGATTCTGACGATCAGATCTTAAGCCTGTGTAATGGGAAGTGAACCACTCCACATCTCAAGCCACAAGGACACTGTCCCTCCTTGCCTGTGCCCACTTTTGCCCCCAAATTGCTCCTCTCATTTCGCTCTCATCTGCCTCCCTGAGTGACATCCTCTCCTCATCCTGTGGCTTATAGTATGGGACACCCCTGTGCTCTGGCCTTGGGGTGGCTGGAGAGTCAGCAGACTTGGTGTGCTGGAGGAGCAGTCCCTGAGGGCTGCCGCATGTGACTGGGAACTCCTGGGGCAAGTGTTGTCCCCCCAGGCCAGTGGCTGTCCTCTACATCATGGCTCACTCAAAAACATACACCACCCCAAAAACAACAGGAGGGCATGGTAGTCACTGTCATTTCACAGGGAGGAACCTCCTTATTTAAAAATAAGCCTCAGGGTGGATGACAGCAGCTGTACATTCAACATTAATCACATCCAAAACAGAGAAGCTACGTCCCCGGATGGCTCTTCCCCATAACGATGAAATCTCCTGACCCAGGCAGAGACTCGCGGGTTTGCCTAGTGTTTTCACTGGCAGCAAGGAGCTGGACCTCACAGGCATGTGCCTCCGTCTAATCTAGAGCAGAGAATGGTACTCTCTAGGGGGATGCTGGGGGAAGGCAGTATCCATGAGAGACGTGGTGCACCCAAGACCCAGCACAGTATTTTCTTTCAAGTATGCCATGTGTATGGGTCTGTGGGCTTTTTGTTGTTTCAGTGCTGTGTACCAAGCCCAGAGTCTTTTGCATGCATTCTACCACTGAGCCACACCCTCAGCCCCTGGATACGTGATTTTATATGTGGTGTTGGCATGTGTGATGCATGCATATACATGTAGTGTGTGTGGGTGTATGTAGTATGTGCATATGGTGTTTGCATAAGAGTGATATATGTATGGTACATATACATTTGGTATGTATGTACACATGTGATGTGTATATGTATGGTATGTATGTGTAGAATATGTAATGTGTGGTGTATGTATAGTGTATACATGCAGGAGTGTATGTGTGAATGTATAGTGTATAGATCTGGGTATATATATGTATGTATGTGTATATATACATATATTTGTATGCATGTATACATGTATGTGTGTAGGTACGTGGTGTATGTATATATGTGTGTAGTATATGTGTGTGATATGTGTGATAAGCATATGTATGGTGTGTATATGTATGTGGTATGTGCATGGGTATATATGTAATATATGGATGACGTGTGTATGTGTGGTATATATGGCTTATGTGTGTGTGGTGTGCATGTGGTATGTTTTTACACGTGTGCGGCGCATATGCATATGCACATGGTTTATGTATGTGTAGTGTATGTGTGGGTGGTGTACATGTTCATGTGGTGTGTTTGCACATGTGTGCCGTATGTGTATCTGGCATGTGTCTGTGTGTATATGTTATATGTGGCATGCATACATGTGTGAGGCACTATGCATATGCATGTGGCATGCGTATGTATGGTATAAGTGTGATATGTATGTGTGTGGTGTACACATGTGGGGGTGGTCTGTATGCATATGTGGTACATGTACCTATGGCACCTGAAAGCATGTATATACGTGTGGAGTGCATGTGTTTATTCCACCCCAGCCGTGTCACTTTCTGCCATTTGTGATGACACTCCACAGATACGGGCAGGCTCTTCCCTGAGATGAATGGGCTGACTTTATTCCAAGATGCAGCCCAACAGTTGGCCTGTCTTCCTGAATAAGGAAAATGTTCAGATGACTTTTTGTGGAAGCCATCACAAAATCTGACCCTGACTTTATAATCTTATATGGTCCAAGTGTCTGGGGAAACACTTAAAAAATGTCCTGTTTCTTCCACAATGAAAGATTTTATGGTGTGTGTGTGTGTGTGTGTGTATTTACACATTTTTTTTCTGGGGAAGACAGCTCCATGGTTGTTTTCAAATTCAAAGTAAATCTAAGTAGCTGTGGGTTTATACAATTAGCTGCTGGAGGAATTGCAGCGGGCAGGGGGTGGGGAGAAAGGCAGACACATGCCTTCTCTGAAAATGACCCTTCTCTAAATATATACTGAGAAACACATTTTTCTCACAAGGCTTATTTTGCTACTAGGGACAAATATCTCTGGTTCTTAGCCTATCTTCTCCCTAAGCACTTGGACCTGTTCAACTCCTTGGATTCTGTCCAAGGGAAACTCAATGCCTCACCTGTATTTTGATGCCAGTTGTTCTGTGATCATAACCAGTTCCCAGCTTCTCCTGGGTCCCCACTCCAAAGGACTTAGGCTCAACTCCCCCCAAATAAGAGCAGAAACAGAAGCCCCCTGCAGAACAACTTGAATCCAACGTCCCATAGGTGGGCTTCTAAGATCATCTTTCCTCAGCCCATGGCACAGCCATCTCACAGTAAATGGGAACTAGTTACCTGAAAGTGACGCTACCATCCCTCCCCCCGGCACAGTTTGCTAAGGTTCACAGGAATATTCGAAAGGGCCTGTGGCCTGGTTACCTGTAGACATGCTTTCCCCAGGGGACATGCCATCCAGCATGGGGTGCTCCGTGGACTGTGGGCTCGAGGCAGAGAGGCTGACCGTGGGAGGCTGAGGAGGTGGCAGAGTGGGTCTCTGTCGGGGCTTAGGGGTGGGTCGCGATTTGGCTAAAGTGCTTGTAAAGACAGAAGGAGAGGCCAGGGGAGGAGCTGCAGCCGGGGAGAGCTGGCCTGAGGCCAAGGAGTACCCCGGTGGGTAGCTAAGTCCGTAGGGCGACGGGGTGCTTGGTGGAGTAGGAGACAGGCTGACGGGGGACGGCTGGCCAGCGGACTGGTCAGTCACAGACCCTGGCTGGCCAAAGGGGACCTTAGGTGGAATTGGTGCCAGCTTCTTTGAAACTGAAAGAAAAAAACAACAAAATGCAAAGCTATTAAATGAAGCCCATCAGTGTGACTCATCAGCACAGGCTTCATGGTTCAGAGTGGTCACTTCCTGTCACCCCACTTCCCTGCCCTAGGCCTCCTGCCACACCGAGAGCAGCCAATACAATTTTTAAAAATGAACTAGGAACTGCAAGTTTTCCTGTCTTTCCATCTGTTAACTAATTTCTCCTTCTCTTTCCTGGATCTCTGCCACCATCTACATGCACACCCTGCCAAACTACGGAACAAATCTCCCATCCATGGGCGGTGGGCTGATTTCCCAATGGGAAGAGGTGTCACTGAGACAGTCAGTGAGACCAGATCCAACGAGAATGATCTGAGTTCAAGTTGTCACAGTGGAACCCTGATTTGGGGCAAGTCCTCAGGATAGGAAACTGACCAGGCTAAACCTGTGCAGTGGTATTTGTCTCCCAACAGTGACGTGTGAACAAATCTCCTGGTCACAGAACCTCCGGCCTCCACCACTTTATGTTCCCCACCTGGATTCTGTGCTTGGATCATGGCTCTTTTTCTTTCTTTGCAGTGCTAGAGATGAAATCTAGGGACTTAAACACACTGGCAAGTGTCCTGCCCCTCAGCTACATCCCCAATCCTTTTCTTTTCTTTTTTTTTTTAATTGACATATGATGTTTGTCCTTATTTGTGGGATATAGTATTGTAATTCAATACATGCACCACAGTGCATAATGATCAAATCAGAGTAATTAGCATTTCCATCTCCTCCTATATTATCATTTCCATGTGTTGGGAACTTTCCAACTCTTCTCCTCTGGTTATTTTGAAATGTATAATTAATTGCTACAGACTATAGTTACCCTACTGTGCCACCCCCTGCAAATGAGTTTTGGTACCCATTATCCACCTTCACTCTGTTCTCCTCCTCCTCCCACATGCCCCCCCCCCCC